CCACTAAAAGATTTTTCATGCGCCCATGCGTGAATACTAAGAGGAAGTGAATGTTCATTTGGGACCCACCCACAGTGACGAATTAAGTTGCCAAAACGCCAGCTTTTTATGTATCGTATGACTTGAGATCGAAATATGCAAACAATTACACACATAAGCACACACAGGCAAGCCTTTTACAGTATGCGTTTTTTGCATGGCATAGATACAAAAAAAAAAAGCATGAAAGTGAATTAGATTCCAGTTTTTGCGGAACCAAAAAGAAACCAGTCATCATGATTTGTACTCACAGCTCATAAAATGTGTGAGAAATAGGCCTCCAATAAAGACCTGTAGCGTCCTGAAAAGCTTAGCGCATTATCTTTCCAAAATCCTGTTCTGCTGATGAATTTTCTTTCACGTCCTGGTCCAAAATAAAGTATTTGAGAGAAATCTGGGGAGAGGGCGATAAAGGATGAGCGAGGTCACATGTTTGTCCAGAATTCATATTTACAAAGTTGGTGATTTACTGGGAACGATGCGTTGTGAGTAGCTATCCCTCAGCCTAGCACTTGTTTGACCGGCCGGGCAATAGTCCGATACCAAATTATAAAGGTGCTGCCGAAAAGTTGGATTGAATTTCGAATAAACTGCAATCCGGGTGGCACTTGTGAGCATGTACAATAAACTGATTGTATCACCAAGTACAGTATGAAGTGGTGATGCCAAGTTCTCGTCATCTTCCATCCTGTAATTGTGGCACAATAAGAATGCAAATGATTAACAGTGCTCGCGCTGGAAAGATCAGAAGAAATAGTTTCGGCTTATTAGGTTCACAATTTTAAACAGCACACACAAACATGGGCACATGCCAGAAGCGTTCCGAGCACATGCAAAACCAAAAAAAAAGAAATGTGCGGGCTTCGTTTAGCTCGATGAACGCCTGGTCAAGTGAAGGACATAAAAAAAAAAGCCGAACGAACACCAGAAGTGATGATTTGCTTTGTTCCATGACTGTGAGGATTAGATGTAGTGAGCTGCACAACAGGTGGCTGGTAACGATTGCAAGCATTGTGTAGACAGCATTGCGAACAATCCGAGCATTCTCCGTTTTGCACATCTGATGCATTGTTGTTTTGTGTAGAAGTATTGTCTATAAAAATGCAAGTTGAATGGACAGCTACGTTTCAACATGTACGCACAACTAAATTCTTTTAAAAAGACAGCAGCAGTGGATGCGAAATTGGCTGCATAAATTAGCAAAACAAGCAGATGTCCAGCTGACCCCGATGTTTGTTTTCATCTAAGTATGCACGATGGAAGCACAAAATAAGTGCCATGCAGCAGAATATTTTTAAAAATTTCTGCATTGTTTCAGAACCTGATGCAC